AGAAGACCCATGTAGACCTTGGTGATGTCTGCCGCACCACATAAGGAGCTGGAACGCCTCCTAACAGTGCCCTTCATTGTGCAGAAAGGAGGCATCTTAGAAGACGTTTCGCAGACCAGGTCCGAGCGTCCGTGGTCTTCTTGGGAACCCCGATACCAGAACGAACCCTCCCCCCCCGCCCCCGGCAGCATGCACAAAGCCACTTGGTGGGGGTCAGAGCATGCCGGCGCCTGAATGCCTGCATCCTACCTTCCGCCCCGTGAACTTGGGCTTGGTCCCTGACCTCCTGCTCCTCGCTCTCCCCAGCGGGGGACAATGGGGATCATAGAAGACTGTTGTGCAGGGCTGTTGGAAGGGCTGGCAGGCATGGTGAGGACACACGGTGCCGGAGCCGCAGCAGATGATGGTGGCATTTGCCTTGGTGCTGGCCACAGAGTCTGCGGGGAGAGCCTCTGACAGATGCTGGTCATCTGGCGTCTCTGGTCCCTTTTATTCCCAAGTCCGCCTATCCGCCCGGCCCAGGCCCCAGCCCTGTTGGTTCTTAGCTCCTGTGCGTGGCCCCGGTCTCCAAGAGCCTCCTCCAGGCTCCGGGGACACGAAATTCTCAGCAAAGAGACATTTCTAAGCAGCTCATCTGGAGCGCTGCCATGGAGAGAGAGAGAAAACCCGCACCGGGGAATGAGCTGTGGCTTATATCTTCACGCCTTCAGCTGGCGAATCAAAGAAACGACAGTGTAAGAGCCGCACTCAGGGCCGCGGCCTCTAAGCGGACGAGCCGGCTGCAGGCTCTCCAGCAGAGGCCTGGCCCCAAACCACAGGCCGCACGAGGTTTGCATTATCCTGCCCGGGCAGCTTGGAGGCAGCACCCCAGCCAGGAATATGGCGTTATGGGTTCAGTGCTCACACTCACTTTTTTAAAGCAGGGAGTGGGGTGTTGAAAGGGGTTTCAGATTAAATGTTTGTGTGCATGCATGTGTGTGTGTGTGTGTGTTATGGGTTCAGTGCTCACACTCACGCCAGGCGTCTCCTGAGCCCTTTAGTTCTCCTGTGGTCACTGGATCTTCCCCCAGCTCGGTGCGGCACATCTGTCGTCATCACGGTGGTTCGTACGGATAAGTCAGCTGACGCCCGGGGTTCAAATCACTGACCTGAGGTCACACCGCAAGAAGTGGGCAGGATTTCAGCCCAGGCGTCTCAGCTTTTGGCTTCTGTGCCACGTCTTACGATCTCTGAACCAGATTTAAGACGGGGAGTGGGGTGCTGGCCGGTCTGGCTCAGTGGTTGAGCATCGGCCCATGCACCAGGAGGTCATGGTTTGAGTCTGATCAGGACACATGCCGAGTTGCAGGCTCGATCCCCAGTAGGGGATGTGCAGGAGGCAGCCGATCGATGTTTCCCTCTCATCACCGGTGTTTCAGTCTCCCTCTCCCTCCCCCTTCCTCTTTTAGCAAGAGCTAAAAATAAATAAATAAATAAATAAAT